AATTTCTGCTGAATTTTCACATTATCAGTCATAAAATACTAATATTTAGATTATATGACTTAATTTGTTTTGTTGTTGTTGGTTCCTGTAGTGGGAATGAAATCGATACCTTCACTGAACTATCTCCCCAGTGCTAATTTTTAATATATTGAGTTTCTGTTATTCATGAAGTTGCACAGACTGAAGTCAAATTTGTGCTCCTCCTGCTTCAGCCTCCTAGAGGGCTGGGATTACAGGCAGGTGCTCCATGCCCAGTTTATAATACTTACTTTGGTAAAGCCAAGGTTATTATTCCTTTCTCTTTTCTTACTATTGTCACACATAAATGTGTTTTTTATTCCCAACATTATATTTGATTCGTTTTATATATTACTGTGGTTTTTAGGTTTTAAAAGTAAATGAAAATCCACTCTTGCTATATGAGGCAAGAGTAATTTCATTATCCCTAATCATTGTATCAGAAAACATGTTTTTCATAGTACAATACATCTTTGTATTGTATTTGTTCCTTTTTGGATCAGACAGTATTAGAAGCAACCTTAGAGATGTCCGAAAACATGTTTTATATGTGTGAATTCTGGGGAGACTACATCAGGATAAAAAACCGTTTAAAAGAACAAATGGTTGTTTGACATCAACCGTTACCTGCCATGCCATAAGTGTCTCATTTATGTCATATTCTGGCCCTGCAATGTCCTTTTATCCATTCCACCACAAGCAAACAAAACTGAATCTTTCTAGACAGAAGTACACTCATTCCATTTCGATGCCATTTTATTTATATCTCCACTGTTCAATCAGTAGTTCATAATTTGATTATCAAAAACACAGCACTCAGGATGAAACAAATACCATTTTTATTTGTAGATCTATCTATCATTCTATATCCTGTGGGAAACTAAAAGTAATGTAACATTACTGAGGATGTGATTCACCAAATCTTACACACACTGTCAGGGGAAACTATAGGAGAATCTGAATAGCAGTTAGGAAAAGCAAAATGGTAGAGTGAGCTTAACATACTTACTGGTGCAAAATGAATAACTTCTGTTTATTAGAAGAAGGATGAAATATAAACATGTAGGTTCAATTCCACATAATTAGAGCTGAAAACCCACTGTTGCTCTGTACTGACCCACCTGTAGCCTATCTACATGGAGTTTGGTATTTTTTTGTTCAATCATATTGGATAATTCTTTATCTGAATTGGGAATATCCTCTGGTTGTTTGTCTGTTATTTCCAATGGTCTTTATGTAAGTATTTTACCCTTCAAATGTCAATCACTTTATCTAAAACCCATAAACATATTTGTATTACATTTGTCTAAAATTCAAATTCAATTTTTCTAAACTCTTAATCCAGTATTTCTGTTATTATTATTTTTATTTTCATGCCTCATTTTTAGTAATCAGTTTTCATATTTTTGATGACATAGTAAATAAATTAAAATGAAAACAGAAAAAACAAATATAGATATGATTTGTAGGATTCCTTTAAGAGCAAAATTTTAAGAAAGCTATTTCTTACTTTTATGTTTTAATTATTTACCTGTAAGCCCAGAATATGTGTTATATGTCTTACTAAGTTGCATTTTTGAGA